TCTTTCCTCTATTTCCCTTGATTCTCCTCCTGTCCCACTATCATGCTCAGTCCCCACCAGGATTTCAGCACTTCCTCTTTGTTACGTTCCCCTTGGTCATGCCCTACCGACCACCAGGACTTCTTGACTCAGGGACTCACCACATAAACAGACTCACTGTCACAGAGTCAATTCTGACTCAGAGCAACCCCCAGTGAGTGTCTAAGACCGTAACTGTTGGTGGGAGTAGAAATAAATCCCAATCTCTTTCTGTGCTCCTGGTGGTTACAAACTGCCAACCATCCCAGTCCTACTCCTAACTGCTACATCACTACAGCTCCTTTTGACTTAGGGAATAGACGGCGAAAATGATGTATTAACAGTTGAGTCAGGAGACCAGAGGAAAATAGAGGTAGGGTCCGTAAGACAAAAGTTTTATAGAGCAACTTACTTATTGCTGGATGCCCTAGGTGGTGCAAACCAGTAGCATCTGAGCTGCCAAGGGAGAAGTTGGAGACTCAACTCTCCGGAAATGCGCCTCGGAAGAGGGTCCTGGTGACTGACTTCTGAAAAGTCAGCCATGGAAAACTTGAGGGGGTACCTTCTACGTAACACCAACAGATTGCCAAAAGTTGATGTGAACCGAACAGTAACTTTGCTTTGTTTTTGTTGTTTTGATATATTTTCTTTTTACTACAAAAGTTCAGTATTTGTATTTGGAAGCCCTTTAAGTTTTGGATTTGATAGTTTCTTGATTGTTTATCTTAGGAAAGTTTTTAGTGTCCTGAACCTTGCTTTACCTGTTAATAAAATGAGTGTGATAGTGTGAAGTTCCATGTCCCGACTGTCACCCACAGGGGAACTAGCAAGATCCTAACCTGTGTGGTTTATTAGCGCCCAGCGGTAACCCGCTCTCACACTCACATGGCAACAAAAAAGTTAAGCCACAGTTTTATTAAAACATAGAGTCACTTTCAAAAGAAATGAAGCGGGTACCCCTCTCAAAGTGCGAAGGTTCGTTGCCTAGGGGAGCAATTCTAGTTTTTATATGGCACTTTTAAATGGGAGGAGGTTGCCATTCTGAAGATGGTCAAGCAACTTCCTAATCAGGTGCTCAGTTTGTCCTTGGGTTTCATACATTGTTTTTTCAGTTTTATCTGGGCCACTGCTCCAGGCCAGCATGTTTCAGAATTATTTTGGAGTACAGTCTGTGTCAGAATTTTCAGAATGTTTCAGACTTATCTCTGAGTAGAGTCTTGCATCAGGATTTTCATTAGGGTCTGGCTTCAAGGTGAAGGTGTTTGATGAGCCAGTTCTCCCGGAGTTTTCTGTTCATAACTTGTTTTACAGGCTCTATGCACATTCTCTCAGCAGGCAGGGCAGAAGCCCCTGTTCTGTCTCTGTCCCATGGCATGTCTCTGTCATTGTAGCTAAAGAATGTATAGGCAAGTTTCGGAAATCACACAGCTCAATATAGAACTCTGGTCATGATCATAAAAAGCCAAAGGAGAGAGGGAGCTAAGCTACTGCCACAGACACCATCACGTATGAAGCACCATCACGTATGAAACACCATAGGGTGAGGAGCAAGAGGGGGTC